CCGCAAGTGCGATCGCCCCCACCAGAACGCCTGGCACATCAGTGCCTGTGGTCTGGTCCAGTGCAATCTGAAAAAATGCTGCATGCACTATTTTTTTTAGATCGCACTAGACCGGAAGTCAGGCGTTCAGGTGCAGGCCACGCGTTCTGCTGCGGCTGGGGGACATGGCTGCGATGCCATTGACTTCAATGCAACTCCATGCCCCCCTCCGCCCCTGAACGCAGGAAGCCGGCCGGGATGCGCGATAGAGTGCGTTCCAGCAGCTGACCGCTCTGGAACGCACTGTTTATGGTGTGAACCGTCACTTGTACCCCTTATGGACCAGAGCAACTTTTACATTTCCGCTATGGGACTTTTTATTTAATAACTTTGGTATTACTTAAAGGAGAACTATGAGGTGAGTGCTTTTCACTCACCTCATAGTTCTAGCCGACCTGTGACAATGAGACTGTCACAGGTTGGCTCAGTAGATCGGGAGGTGAGCGAACACATACCAGGTTCGCTCACCTTCCGATCCTGTCACGGCTCTCTGCCGTGACGTGGGAGGGGCTGGATTCCCCTCTCCCCGCTCCGATCTGCCAGCGCTGACTGGCAGAACGGACGGGGGAGGGGGCGGGTACAGCTGGCTCTGCCTCTAGATGGGCAGAGCCAGCTGTCACTCACGCAGCTGGGCGGATCCCGTCATCTACGTCGGGATCCGCTCCGGCTGCGGCGTCTCAGTATACCGCGAGCTGTAGCTCCCTATATACTGAGCTTAGGGTGACGGGAGGACGCTAGTTTGTGTCCTCCCGTTACCCTAAGGAGAACTATGGGGAAATACACTGACCCCATAGTTCTCCTTTAAGATAAAGTCATACCGGCATTTTTTTGGAGGGACAAACTAGGCTTTATTTTGGCAATATTGTCCTGGGATTTTTTTTTATGTAATCTATTAAAAAAATTGAAAAGATAATTTTTTAACATTTATTTTCGATTTTAAAAAGTAGTTTGACTGTAAATAAAAAGTATAATTTTTTGTAATTTGTCCCGTTTAAAAAAGAAACCAAAATGATGTTTCTGGTACAAAGCACGGCAAAGTTATTTGCAAATGAAGATTTTTTTTTTTTTTTTAAATTGTGCACTTTTTTTTATTTTTATGAAACACTGAAAAAATAGAAATTTTAAACAGAAAAATCGGCAGACAAATATTAGCTAAGGGAGTAAAGAGTTAATTAGGGCTAATTAGGGTTAATCGGGGCTAAATAGTAATACATTTTATTAAAGAAAAAAAACACTTTTTTTATACTTGCAGATTTATTTATCTTATGTCATTTGTAGATCTAAAGTTACACCTTTCATCTACATAAGACATAAGTTAAAAAAAAAAAAATACATGTTTTACTTTTTAACCCCCAGTAAAATGTTTGATCTGCACATGAATGAAATGCTAAATACAAATGGGGGCAATTTATCAAAACTGGAGCAGAAGAATCTGGAGCAGTTGCCTGTGGCAGCCAATCAGCTTCTCTCTTCAGTTTGTTCAGTTAAGGTTTGAAAATGAAAGGTGGATGCTGATTGGTTGCCCTGCACAGCTGCTCCAGATTTTGTCTGCTCCAGTTTTGATCAATTACCCTCTATGTATCATATTGTTACATATTGATTATCTGCAAGTGTCATGTCACACAGGAGCTGCTGCATTTTGACAGCCGGTAGGGGGAGCAAAGACAGAGAAAGAGGAGCTGGACGTAGGAGATACGTCCTAGTAGCGTTGTTGGATTATTTTAGGGCTCATCTCCTACATTTGAAATTCTTGTGTGGTTAAAGGAGAACTATGAGGGGCGTGCTTTTCACTCACCTCATAGTTCTAGCCGACCTGTGACAATGAGACTGTCACAGGTCGGCTCACTAGATGGGGAGGTGAGCGAACACATACCGGCGTTCGCTCACCTCTCGATCCTGTCACGGCTCTCTGCCGTGACAGGGGAGGGGCTGGATTCCCCCCGCTCCGATCCGCCAGTCCTGACTGGCGGAACGGACGGGGGAGGGGGCGGGTACAGCTGGCTCTGCCTCTAGATAGGCAGAGCCAGCTGTCACTCACGCAGCTGGGCGTATCCCGGCACAATTGTCGGGATCCGCTTCAGCTGCGGCATCTCAGTATACCGCGAGCTACAGCTCCCTATATACTGAGCTTAGGGTGACGGGAGGACGCTAGTTTGTGTCCTCCCGTTACCCTAAGGAGAACTATGGGGAAATAACTTAACCCCATAGTTCTCCTTTAACTAAAAGAGGAAAAGGTCAGAATCTCGGTCTGGTTGGCATTGCGCTCAGTGACTCCAATTAAACTTCGCCCTCGTGTTTTGTCCAGCTATAGATTTTCAGTAATTGATCAGAGTGATTGGCTTACTCCGATCACAGACCCGTTCAGGTGAGCTGGTAAAGGGGACATTTGGATGACACACCTGGACACATAGGCGAGGAGGAGGGGGTTGTCCCAAGGCTCCATATCCTTCAGTTTCTGCACAGCGCTCACCAGATCTCCTCTCTCTATTGCCAGCGCCGCTGGACCCGGACCGGCCAGATCTGGGAGGTAAGAGGACAAACGTTGATGAAACATATAGTGACTACATTCCAACTGAATGCTATATCAGAGACCACACGGTCCTGACACCTTACGGTCTCAGATCAATAATTGGGAAACAATCAGAGTGGATTCTCCATCAAATTTAAGAACATCTCTTGAAAATAATTTAGAATTAAATAGCAATTCAATGTCACATCAAATCTTCACAGTAAAGACATTTCTCAGTGCCTTTCAAACCTGCCTCTACCCCACCTACTTCCTGCTCTGGGTTTCTAAGGATCGTCATACTGGTAATGGCCACCTGGAGCGCCGTATCGCGGATAGCCCACTTCCATATTCTCCGCCCCCAACCATCAACTTACAGAGCAGGTACCCTAACTGCAACCACGATATCAACATTGAGAGACTTTGTATTGGTACAAATTGTAAGGGACGACACTTTCTTAAAGGGCAGTTGAACCCCAACAATGAACTTTTCTGGTCCAAAGAAATGCTGCACACCGCTAGTTCACCACACATGTAGTTTATTCCACCCAAGAGCCAGCATGGTATGGTCCCTTCCTAGTAGCAGCCCATCTCTAATGCGTTTCACCCATATGGGCTTAACCACTATGACTAAGCCTGTTAGGGAGAAATGTGTTAAAGAAGAACTATGGGGTTTAGTCTTTTCCCCATAGTTCTCCTTAGGGTAACGTGAGGACACAAACTAGCGTCCTCCCGTCACCCTAGGCTCAGTATACTGCGAGCTACAGCTGAGACGCCGCAGCTGAAGCGGATCCCGACAATTATGTCTGGATCCGCCCAGCTTTGTGAGTGACAGCTGGCTCTGCCTATCTAGAGGCAGAGCCAGCTGTACCCGCCCCTCCCCCGTCCGTTCCGCCAGTCAGCGCTGGCGGATCGGAGCGGGGAATCCAGCCCCTCCCCTGTCACGGCAGAGAGCTGTGACAGGATCGAGAGGTGAGCGAACGCCGGTATGTGTATGTGTGAGCGAACGCCGCATATATACGCTACGCAAATATACGGCTCTATACGCGGCTATGTGTATGGAGCCATTTATTTGCATGTGTTGCATATGGTACAATATGCTCCGTGTACACACCTTGAACACGGGGACACAAGACCTTTATTTTCATTGACTCATCTCATTGGACACAGCATAGGTTGCATATGGTACAATACGCGCGTATACGTGCGGCAGTGTGAATGAGGCCTTAGGAAGAAAAACAGCTGAATTTTTAACTAACAAACATTAGTATGTTGTCATAATACAGGACAATGGGCATCTTGTTTGAAAAGCTTTCCCATGGCAAACAAGCTCAAACTACCTCTTGCTGCAGATCGGTCTTTCCAGAACAGTTTTAATCCATTAGACCACCACCCCCCAACCCCCCCC